TATAATAATTTTAATTATAAACTACATTTTGATGTCCAATGTATTAAAATATGCTGATAGTAAAGTGGTTTTATTAAATTTTGAATGTAACTCTAAAGACGTCATAACAAGCACATATTCACAGCTAATGGTATAAACATGTCATACATAGCATAAATATAACCATTACAATAAATCTTGTGGCTTTGAAGTTAGACATATTAGCCAAATGGTTATGGTCTTTTTACATAGTTGTGGAGATGGAAAACTAATTATTCACATGAACATAAAGCTAAGTTTTGTAAAGAACATTATGTAACAGGATATATACAAAATGAATTACTTGATCTGTGAAATTGATTAGAAATCCATGTAAATACATGATGTATATAATTGCCCAAACATTGATAGATTAGATAGTTAACATAGGCTGCACTCTCCACAAATGTGGAATTGCACAGCAGTTTGAATAAACTGGATGTGATATTGGTGACAAGAACTGCACAAATTGTAATTAAAGGAAATCTATATTTATTGTAATAATGATGATAAAACTTATTGTTAACAATATACTTTTAAATGTAATATTTAAGTACTGAAACTACAAGACTGATTATAGTTTGCATTGAAGATATGAACATGCTGAGAAAGTAATGGATGTTAAAATGGAAAATATGAGTTGAGCTATGCTCAAAGAATTCCCTTTTTGGTATATAAAAAAAGATGAAAGAAAGGAGGAATAGAACTTCTCCATGTTAAGAAGTGCACATACATAATGGGAATAAAGTAGATTTAAATTAATATGTGTACAAAACAGCTTGGTCAATGATTGATTACTTGACCATCTTAAATTACTCTAGGCACAGCTTAGATAAACATTTTGCCTTATACAAATGAAGAAAGAACAGAATAACTATCAATGGAATTATCTATGGAGTTACAAAAACCCTTCACTTTGGGTTATAATCTATAATGTAGATTACTGTGCATGGTGAGGGTGGACTTTCCAGGGAAGGTGGTCTGTGCAGGTTATTTTCTTTGTGATTTAAACATCCAACCACATGCTTGGTGCTGTGCATGTTAACCTGTGAAGTGGTAGTGAACAGTAGTATGGGGGCAAAAGTATAAAACAAACCCCGAAACAAAAAGGCTTAGAACTTCAGTACTATTACTTTCACTTTCACATAAAAAGTATTAGACATAAATATTATAGAAATAATTCAGTCTAAATATTAAATCGTGTACGATCAAGATATCATAGCATGCATCTCCAATAAAGTGTTGTGCATTGGATAGATATTATTCCAATCCATCTCCAGTAAAACATCTTGCATTTGATAGCTATTATAGTAATTCATTTCCTATAAAGTGTAGAGCATGGAATAACTATTATATTAATCCATCGCCTGTGAAGTGATATGCTAAAGATAGATATTGTTACGACAGCGAAAGTCACGTGACGCTAGTAACACGTCATGAACTTTTAGAAGGATCCTGTCCCTTTCTAAATGCTCGAGCGTTTACTAGATTTCGGTATTCTTTTATATATAAGACGCTCAAAACGTGACGGCAACAATGTAATGTGTAATTGACAGTTGAGTCGAGCACGTGAGACGTTCGTTGTGAATTATAGCGTTTGTTATAGCGCGACTGTGGAAATTAAGTGTATTGCAAAGTTGTATTCAGAAAGAATTAACCAGTTTTATTTAAGAAAGGACTTGTATCGCTAAAGTTTCATCGGAAAGAAATTTACGGAAAATTAACTAACAAACAGAGACGTAACAAATTGGTGTCAGAGAGTAGGACAAAAAAAATGGAAATGAGAAGCGGCAAATCAAACTACAGCTTGGCAGATTTGATGGCAGCAAAACAAGAACAGCAAAAGAAACAAGAAGAACGAGAAGAGAAATTACAGCAGTTGTTAGAAGACAAAGAAAAGAAACAGGAAGAACGAGAAAAGAAACAAGAAGAGAGATTACAGCAGTTGTTGGAGGAAAAAGAAAAGAAACAAGAAGAGAAATTACAGCAGTTGCTGGAGAAAAAAGAAAAGAAACAAGAAGAGAA